CTGGCCCCACCCCCCTCTTTCTCATGCAGATTCCTGGAGTCTATGGTAAGAACCTGTATCCAGAGGAGAAACCCCCCTGTGTTCAATCTTAGCCTCTGCCTCTCAGGTGTCAGAGCTCAGGACCCCAGACCCCCTCTAGGTGTAGCCCACCTTGCAAAGGTCCTTTAGAAAACTACATTGACTTTCTTTTCGTTGCATGGTCTATCTATAGCAGTATGTTTATCAGTGAGATGGCGGGGAGAAATTCTTTTTGTAAACAGCTTCAATAAGATATAATTCACATGGCATATAAGTCACCCGTTTACTGTGCACAATTCCATGGTTTTTTGTATGTTCACAGAGCTGTGCAAACATCAACCCAAGTCCATTTAGACCGTTTCCATCACCTCAGAAGAAACCCTGTAGCCTAAGCTATCACTGCCCTCCACACACATCCTTAAGTCCCCACTCACCAACTTTCTATCTCTGTAGATGTCCCTGTCCTCAGCTTCCACACAAGTGGGACCCTATAATATGTGGACTTTTGTGACTGGCTTCTTTCATTCAGCATGATGTCCTTCAAGGAGAGACATTTTCTCTCAAGGGCACTTTTACAAAATGCCTCTACCATCACAGCACACCCCATGGCCCATTCTGACCCTCTCCCACTTGGAGGACACCGAGTGAACAAGTGAATGTGTCTCATCTCTCTGGGGCCTCCAAGCTGGAAAAGCTAGGGAGCCACTGGTTCCCAGGAAAGTTCATATAGGCAAGATGCCTCCAGACACATATGAAAGTTGAACAATTTAAGTTCGCAAACTTTCCACCTTGTAAGTGCACAGTGGAAAGTTTGTGAACTTAAGTGTCTGATCTTTTTGTATTTTAAGTTACATATCACATGAAGGGAATGTCCTCAGCACAAGAAATGATTAAAACCCGGGGTTTTGCTCCCAGAAGACGGGTAGTGGGCCTGCCCAGGAGATGCCCAGGTGAGAAAGTCAGGGCAGTGCGGGAAGAAGCCACACAGGACCCCTGAGGTGGGAGCCTCACAGTCTGGGGGACAGGAGGCTAAGAGCTCTGGACACACACGCCGCTGCTGTGAGAATCGCAGTATAGATCCATGTCAGAAGCTGTAACTGCCATGAGGGCTCTGCTCCCCATACTTGAGACTGCCAAAGCGCTGCGCCCGCAGGGCATTTGCACGTGAGCCCCAGTGGAGTCTATAGGAGCGATCCAGCCTCCCCGCAGCTTCCTAAGTGGCAATTTGCAACTGTCTCCCTGCACATTGCAGCAGGTGCAAACTGGCTGAAACTAGGCATGTGAGTGGGAAGCTTCTGGGTGCAGCACCACCCAACAGCTGGGGTAAGACGTGCTCACCCAGGAGGCCCGCAGCCCAGTGGAGACAGACACAGAAGCTGCAGGTTACACTGGTGAATGCTAACCAGCCCCGAGTGGGTTGGGGCAGGACCCCAATAAGTTCTGCAGGTGAAGTGGACTTAGCTGGTTAACCTGGATCAAGGGTCAAGAAGTAGCTTTTGTGGGGGGGAAGAAACAAGAATCACTGAAGCACCAGTGAGGATAACAGGAGGCTGGGGAGCTATGCATGGAGGGGAGGGCAAGGAGTGGCAGGTGATGGGGCTCGAGGGAGGGTGAGTCTTGGGACAGAACTGACCACTGGACCGGCATGAAAGCCTCCAAGGCCCGCTCAGTGTAGAGCTGGGATTTGGCATGAATCATGGAACCAAGCCTCCCTCCACCCACACAGGGCACAGAGAGCAAACAGAGAGCCCAAGGCGGTGCCCACACCCAGCAGATAAGGCATCCTTGGCAGGGAGCAGTCACTCTGTTGGGCCACAGGACCCCACTGTCCAAATATTTGTCAAGAGCAAGGGGATAGGTGAGGGTTCAAGCATTTCCCTTTGTAAAGAACACTCTAAGTACCTCCCAGCTTCCAGGAGGCACATACTCAAAGGTGGTCACCTTGAAATTGTTACTGTCATAGCTGGAGGCCTGGCCCCAGTTTCTGTTCATCTCTGTCAACAGGCCAGACTTCCCACCACCGTGCCTGCCCCCAGGTCACCATCCATCATGACAGAGATGGTCTTAGACAAAGGTCTTTACGTCCCCTGGGTGGAACTCTGTCTCTGGGCCCCAGATCCTCATGCTGGAAAAGTAGGGTGGGCCCTGGGCTAACACTCTGTGGTTCTCAGCCCTCACTCTGCACTAGAATTGCCAAGGCGCCTTGAAAAGAACACCAACGTCCAGGATCTGATTTGACTGAAGAGAAGTATTGGGTTGTCGGAAAAGTCATGACGTTTTTTCTGTGTTTTTCATTGCAAAAATGTGTCATGACTTTTCTGACAACCCAACATTACAAGTCAAGAAACGGACATCCAGGCTCTTGTCAAAGGCCTTGGAAAGTGTTTGAACG